GTGAAATCTCTATAAAAATTTACAGAGGGGCATAACATTTGTTAAAGATGCATTAAGTGCCATCCCTGATCCTGACATTCAGTATGGTGGAGTTAGATAAAATAAATTCAGACGGAGGTCAGTAAGCACTGCTAAAAAGCACCTCCAAACGAAGTCGGACAATTCAGCTTGAGGCTGAACAACTGTTGCAACTTTGAGATTTGCAATTTGGATTTCGCCCTTGCATTGGGTGACTTTCGGGCCAACTCACAGGCAGTAGATGAGCACGGTGCTCAGAAAGAGAAATGAGTGCTTATGTGGCTTTATCAAGGGTTTCCAGGAAATAAATTCCCCGTCCGACGCCTCCTGTTTAGCTTTGCGAGCGATTAGTCTATCACTGTGTCCTCCGAAATTCTGTGTTGAGAGTGGTTATGCGGTGACCTAGATTTAGTTTCGACCCCTATGTCGGCAGTTCCAAGTGTATATTCCGAGTCATGAACCACTTTATTTTTCAAAAATTCAACTCTAAATGCTCGGCCCTCCCCTGTGACCTAAATCGCTTTGTGCTCCCGCGTTTTATCAGGTTCGCAATGTAGACTTCTGGCGAAAGTTTGCCTTAGTGACTAACGTCGAAATTACGCTGCCCTCCGGCTTGAGCCACCCAAGGTCCTTTTGTACCAATGGGCACAGTAGGTCAGTGCACTGATTCTCTCTGGTGGCATATTGGGCTTTCGCACCATGACCTGAAGTTGTCCATTCTCGTTTCGTTGTTCCTTGTGCAAAGGCTTTCTAATGAGTCAGAAAATACTCAATTCTTTTTATCTCCTACATTATGCAGTTGTATTTCTGGGACTCGTCACCATGCAATTGTCCTACATTATTTTATGATTGAGGCTCTAATGAACCTAAATCACTACTATAAATACAATCGGCCATTTGCAGACGCATTAATATGTTTCAGTTTCCTCGTAAATTACAAGTATCCCAATCTTTATAAAGCTTACGCACAACCATTCCTCGAACATACGTCAATAATGGGGCACTTGTACGTTTACTGCCTGTGGACAAGGTTGCCCGCTATGCAGACAGTCTCGCAACAACTCCGCAAGCTTCTGTTTCCGATCAGCATCGTGTGCCGTGAGCACACCCTCTGTGCCCTCGTCCGCGTTGGTGTTTTTAGTGTCCATCCAAGCACCAAACGTCTTCACGGCGTGCTGTGTTGCTAGAAGCGCCTCATGGCGCAGCCAGAATAATTTTGATTATATTTTATTAATACTTTTTTGTAAAAATTTGTCTAGAATCTTGAATTTAAACCAGACATGATTGAGTACTTTTTTTGATAAGTTAGCCTAGAATGGTACAACGGGCTGCCTACGGAAATGACCTCTTCGCGGGTCGGAAACTTTATCATAAACTTACTTTTCCTCGCCAGGGTCCGAATCGAGGGATCACTGAATACTAGGCAGCCAAGTCCCACAGGTCCAATGGGTTCGCATTGTAAATAATCAAGAAGAACACCTATTTTCGTTTGTAGCTTGTACAATGGGCTCAAGGTGTCGTTGTGTGGCGCTTGCACGGGGGTGTGGAGTATTGATTTTTACCCGCTGTGCGAACGCACATTTCTGTTTACAAGTTGGTGCCTGTTTTAACGAATGCTTAAATGTTTCTAAGCGTCATGCATCGTCGATGTGATGCAGTGGAACGCAGGTTTCAGCAGCAACGAAAGCAACGACAACAGCGAGGTAATGTGCATGCGTGTCCACGCAATACTCTGGTCGTGTGTGCTACTGCTGTCTGTCACATCCTGAAGTTCAACGCAAGCGAAGCCCACCACAATTGCCATTTGTGTCATGCGAATTAGGATTGAAGTTTTACGTACACCAGGCCCGTTCATTGTTATTGTTGTCGAGGTGGGAGATGCGATGGGCCTGCTCATGGGTTGTGGTGGCGACGCGTCGGACTCAAGTGTAAAGCCATTGCACATTCCTCTCATTCTACTTGGTTGTTGATTCCAAACCAAAGAGAAGCCTGGAAATGCGTGGCCTTCAGGCTCAGCTCTCGGTTTTTTCCTCTGAACAAAAGCGCATAAACCTACTACATCAAATTCCATTCTTTACCCTTGCAATATTTGATGGAATTAAATAATTTTTCGCTCTAATCTTGATTTAAGGAACAAATTTTAGCATGAACGTGAAAATGGTTTGTGAATGGTTTCATAAATTGCTTTAATGTTTATAAAGGAAGATGGATCCACCCCCGCTTCAATAAGCGACATTCTGTGGTAGCCAGTGGTCATGTTTTTGGTTTTTTTAGTGGCTAACTGCGGTTTGGTATCGGTGGAAGTTAGGATAAATCAGTGCACAAACCAAGCATTTAAGGCGCTGGTGTTTTGTGCTTGGCTTTGGGAATTCAGACGCAGAGACCACTTTAATGCAGTGTGTACTTGGGCATTTTCTGTTTGCCATCACATCAGGTAAAGTAACTTCAGTCAAGTTCCAACAGCCTTATTATGTCTTGGCAAAAAGCTCTGCCATCCTTGTGGGGCAAGTAATACCGCTCCAATGTTCAAAAAACTCCGTGAGTGGTTGAGTAAAGTGCACAACAGTTCTCACGTGGGCATCGGTCACAGACGTGGGCCTTCTCCCTTCACATGGTGAACTAGCCAGCAGATTCACGGAGTCAGTGGTTGGCACCTTCGGTTATAATCACGGTGGATATTTGGTAGACGGTAATAATCCAAGACGAGTGTGTGTCAGCTTAGAAAATATACTGAGCGCATAGTATTGGGAAATATGAATTAAATTCCTATGGGACTGCTGCGAGGAGCTGTAGAGAGAGTGATTTCGCAGGAACTCCTTTACTGCTCCCTCGGGTCAGCCACCTCACCGTACACAACTTCTGCTGGCGCTCGTGTGCACACAGCTGGTATGCTTCATTTGACCGGTGTAGGAACTACTTAGGTTGTACCCGTTATCGCCATTCCCCTGCCAAACACTTATCGCGCTTGCCTCGGTTGACTCCACTGTCAGTACTAATGTGCTGGCTCAAGGTCAAATTTTTGATTGTGAACAAAAACTCCCGATGTTAAGCAAATCGAAAGCAAACGTCTCAAGCAGTTCTCAAGGTTTAACAATTACAGACGCCGCTTTTTCGATCAACAGGTTGGTAGTAAATACCTCTTAGAATAACAACAGCGAGTGTATTTTGAGGACATTGTGCATAAAGCATATACTGTCACCTTAGGTGCCTTTCCCTAAATATATGAAGTTAAATTAGGAGCACAATGGAAAGGCCTTGGAGATGCGATTGGGCAGAAAAAGGGTCAAACGGTCAAATTATTATGCGGAAGTGAAGAAATTGAAAATGTAAGAGTCTAGAAGGAACCAGAGGGTAGGCGGAAGAGGAAGATGTGGAATGGGAGGCAATAATTGTACTTTTAGTTAGAGGAAGCTGGTGCGTTAGTATTGGTGGCGACGAAGTGCCATGGCAACGTAGTCGACCTCAGCCGCGTTGATGGCTTAGTTGGAGTGGTAACCAACTGAGTGCCTCGATGTCCTCATACATGCACAGTAAGCACAGAGCAGAAGCGCAGAATCTGAGCAGACTTGGTACGCACATCATCCGAGGCACTTGGACATACCCATAACGAACGCACATTTACGCAATCAATCGATCGCTTTCTCCACAAGCGCGCTTGCAAACACACATGGCTGTCTGCACCTCAGCTAACCGGACAAATCAGGCTTTGCATGTCGCCTGTTGCTAGGGCGACCACATACGCACGCACGAGGTGTGAGGATGCCATGTGTGTGTGCTCCTTTCAGGCGAGTGTGCTTCCGTTCAATCGGGAACAGCTGATGCATTCACGCGTACGTGTGCGTGTGGTATGGTGCAGCGTCTATTCGTGCGTCTGCACGTGCGTGTGTGCTAACGTGGCATTGGCTCCCGTGCGCACGTTCTCCCCCTCAGAGCACACGTGCGCACGCTGCCCTCTTAATCCGTGCACCCGTACAACTCACACACTTACGCACACACGCACACGCAAAATCGCATATATCTGCTGTCTCCGCGTCTAGTTCTATAACGTGTAAATCTCCACCTCGCGGGTGCGCATTTGCACAGGGAAATAATAGTTACGGGTAAGCTTCGTGTTTGTATGTCCTCCAAACTTGGTAAAGTTATTTTCGTTAATTGATTACGCCCAAAGCATTCTGATTGGCTGAAGTGTTGGGATGCGCCCGTACACTTGGGGTAGGACAGGGGGGATGCGAGGGGAATGGCCAACAGCCGCCCTCTTCGCCTGCCGCATGCATGCCACCAATAGGAAGCTAGTCCGGGGGTGAGAAATTATCTGAAGGCAGACGTTAGCTTTTGGAGGGAGCATTCATTTTGCGGCACACCTTATTTCGGTGCTGGATGAGGCTATTTTTACTATCTGAGCCGTGAAAATATCAAGTTCATGGCACTTTGTTACTACTGGTCAATCAGATGATTTTTCGGAAAACTATGCCTGACACACCCCTGATAATTTGAATAGCTATACAATTTTGTACGAAATAGTATCTCCTTAGGTTTGTGCTTCGCTCATTCTACGCACCCTCAAACAATTTCGACAAAAACAAAATATGCAACGCTAAGTGTACCTATGACAAAAAATATTATTTTTGATGGGTTCAACAGATTAATGAATCAAAACTAATAAATGCCGTTTTTAAGACCCAAAAACAGTTCCTCTTAGTAGATGTTAGCTGTTTACTTTTACGAAGGCTACTCACTTCCTGGGTTTGAGCTTATCAAACATTAGTCGTTTCAAATATCTGTCACTACTTTAGTTCCGCCAATCTGAATACAAGTCAAATTTCGAAGGCAACAATCCCATTGAATTACGATCAACTCAGTTGAGTGTGATTAAGAAATTAGTTTAGGAATGCAACCATCATTTAAGCAGCCTGTGAGCTACCCTCACACATCCATTTCAGATGCAAATGTTGTTTGGTTATTCAGGCGTTGGTAGCACAATCATGTCCCAAGGACTTCACGGAGTTCTGGCAGGGAACTTCAATTGCAGCAGTCTTCCATTCAGTTTCGTAGACACCAATGAATTCAAAAGACCCGGAAACTTCCCCACTTCTGCCCCGGACAACATCACGTCGACTTTCTCGCCCTCAACTCCATCCACGTCCACGGGTTGCATTCAGTTCCCTTTCATTGAAAAGCCATCCGAAGGCCAAACCAATGGGGATTCGAGTACTGTAAAGGAGAAACTTTTGGCTGCACTGAAGGAGATAATCCCACACAAAACGAGCCTCAATTTGCGCATGCTTGTGACTTATACTGTGGATAATGCCACGTCAGATGTGATCGTTATTGACGAAACTGTTAACCGAAAGGAACCCGAGCTTCCATCTCGGGCACCTGCAGGCAATATATTGGATCTTTCACAGAAATCAGAAGACCCTGCAAAAGCCCCTGTCTTAGCCATCGATTCCAACTTGGTCAGCATGCTACAGAAACCCACAGCACCAATCTTTAATGTGGTTTCGAACACTGGTACACCAGTAAGTCTAGCTCAGCCCACGAACACACCGCCACCCCCACCACCACTGAATCCTGAAGCCGCACTTATGATGCTTCAAACCATTCTTAATGGAGGCGGTCAAGGTCAGTTTGGTTCCCTTAGTTTTCCCGTTCCCACGTCTTTTGCGACTTCCCAACATCTCCCGGGTGACATTGTTCCCAACGTCACTATCATGACCAACGAAAACATTTTACCAACTTTTCCCTTTGGTGCGAAGGTCGAAACGATGGTTAACCAGAAGACCGAGAGTGGAAGCGGGAGTTCCTCCCCCCTTTCTAATCACGAGGGCTCGTCGACTCCGTTAGCCTTCAGGGCTCACCAAAGAAATTCCAGTTCGGGTGGGTCAGGCGGCTTTAGTCGTCGTTATATGCATCCACGGCGTTTTATTTGCAACCAGTGTAGACAGCAATTTTCTTCTCTGGCTGAGCTGAATCGACATACACTGGAGCTTCACAACTCATTCAGGTGCAACTTTTGCAAAGCAAAATTTACTCAGCGATCAAATCTTCAACGTCATTCTCTAAAGCATGTTGGTTTCAAACCCTTCACTTGCAATATTTGCTTAAAAGAATACTACCGGAAGGACCATTTGGTTCGGCACATTGAAGTCACGCATCCAAATGTGGACCCTAGGATTAATATCACCACACGGCTGACCTCATCCGAATGCCTTGACTTCCTAGACAATTTGCATGTCTACGGTGGTGCAGATTCACCTTTTGTTGAAGCCGGAGTTGATGTCAAACCGATGTTAATCGATGGGTCCAAGCCCCTTTCTGTAAAAGTCGAGGAAACTTCCAGACAAGAGGAAAGCAGTTCCGACAGTGGAACAGTCGGTCTGGTGGTTGACAAAGCTGGAGTTGAACAGAATTCTGAGGTCGATCCAGGAACTGATCAGGAGATGCATGAGCCCGTGAAACAAGATCCCCCAATATCACCTATTGAAAAAACCGCCCAGTTGCAAGATTCAGATACTTAGAAGGTGGTCCAGACACAATTTATTGCATTTCAAACTCTAGTAGTCTCACAATATTCATAATAACTGGCTTGCTATTTCTAATTTCATGGAATTTTGTATATTAAGCAAATTGTGCTTGTCTTACATGGTTTTTATTATTAGTTACTATTATATTTGTATATACACTGCTCTATCAACAAGTCAATGAATTTTCAGACTGTTGGCCTTTTCGGAAATAAGATAACTCTCTCGCAAGATTTTCGTTTCCTAGCACAAAATTGGAGCTGTATAATTGCAGAGCCAGCCGGATCAGTGAACCTATATTATTTGATTTCATTTTCCTCCCATTCGCACAACATCAGTGAGCAGAAGCTGGTTTTGGGACTTAGTGTTTCCCAAAATTTGACTGAATTAGAGTTATGGCCTTAACTGGGGATATGACACGAGTTGTGTGTTTTGTCAACTGGCTTTGTTCAAAATTACGAACTAGGGAGATGTTAAAGCACTAGCAGTTTAAAGAGACGATGGTGCCTTCGAAATGAATGCTGAAAATATTCAAGTCAGTTAAACCCAACTTCGTGACAATAGCCAATGCACTAACGCAATTCCAACCACCAGGCCTTTAAGAAAAACGATGGCCAAAACCACTATAAAGTCCTTGGAAGATATTTTACAACCGGTACATGCTCTTACAGAAGTTGAGCACATATGACTTCGCTATCAACTTCCGATCCATCATTTTAAGACTTTGGTTTTCAGGAGGCACTTCATGCAGGGAGCTTATTGATTCCTCATCTTGAACCTCAGTTTATTTACTGACTCTCAAAAACCGTCCCCACCAGAGAGAATATGCCTTTTGCAGTTTGCCTGCAGCCGTTTTTTATAAATACAGGCCGGATTTCCAAGAGAATTATAACAGCTTAAAAAGGCTAGAGTTTATTTCACCGTTTTTTTTGTGTTTTCGTGTTGATGGAATGCGTGCGCCCAATGTATTCCACCTAATCGTTATTCATGTGTAGGGAATTACGAATATTCGGAAAGAGAATGTTGGACAATAAGATGAGTGGTCTGTCTCGAAGTGCTTCAAAAAAAGAGCCTACACCCACAGAGGCTCAGGCTCAATTACAATAAGGCCAGCACGCCTGTGACCGCTGGCCACTTTCGAATGGCACGCGGCTTGGAGACTTCTCGTACATTGTAGCTCATGCGGTATCGAGTAGTCACAATCTACGGACTTTGCGTACTCTTCTTAGAATTAGCTCTTGTGAATGTTATTCAGCAAAAGCCTCCTGAAAAGGGCTTCGCATGAGACTAATTCACTAAGCAAAAACGGAGGTCGGTTGCGCCCACGAGAGATGCTGGAGGACTAGCGTCCTGGGTATGGTTGGGTAAATGTTTATTAATGCATGACTGCTCTGTTATTGTTATGTCAAGACAATTGTTCCCACTCTCCACAGAATAAGTAAGAATAACAGTGGTAATTGGTAGGCTATTCGAAATGTTATTCAGACAGTAATACATGTCTTCAGTTAAGAACTTCCTTTTCGTGTGCTCTATCGAACAATTATGAATTACTGAAGCTGGTTCGGATTGCCTGTTGCTCCATAGAGAAACGCTTGATGGAAGTAGATGGCCTAGGGCTGCTAACATGACGTAGATCTTATCATGTGTCAATGAACATCAGGTTGAAAGACCTAGGAAACGGCATCTTATGTGAGAACAGTTTTCAAGGGTACGAATTACGATGCGACACCTAGGAGTGGACGTCCGAGGGGTGAAAATTACCAGAGCACAATTGAGAACACACGTGTTTTGACAGGTGACAACCTAAATTTCGTGAATGCTTTTCTAGGTCAAGGAAATAGAACATATGTTCAAGCCCTTGTTGTATGACTTTATTTAACTTCCTTCAGTCTGAAGCAGACTAATTCGTCAGTAAATTACTCTGTATTCAGACCACTGTACGATTAGGCGAACATTCAAGGAGTTGAGTTTGCTTTAAAACGGGGTCTGGCCCCACATTTTGTAATCATCGTTGACTCCCAAATTAAGAGTGATGAATCACGTTTTGGGACGACTTGGCTCACTCGATGAGCTGATGTGAAGTTACCAAAATCCCGGGCTCTTTTCTAGGCCTCCTAGAAATTCGCACCTTTGAAAGTGCTCCTTAATATGTGAGATCCCGTGAGTCTTTTCTATGTTCCAGTGTAAAAAAAATTCTCAGGAGTTCTTAAGCGCACACGCCAGCAGAGCGACACTCACCGTGGGCTGCTTTTATCCCAAATCCTGCAGCGTGATTAGATGTCGGAAGAAATTCCTACGGCCTCTCTAAATGACATGAGCTCGCTCACGATTCCAAAATCGTAAAAATATTTACCGTTGTAACACGTCTTCACTTTGCTCTATACCCTTACAATTGTTCTGTGAAGCTAATTTTAAGTACTTATTTCCTTGTATGTAGATGTCTCCAGATCTGATGATAAATAAACTTGACCTGGAGCTTCAATCAATGTTCACATCAAATCGAAAAAAAACTCTTGAGCTACGAAGCTCCACTACCATCGCCTTTTTCAATCACTTTTGAACTAGTTTGGTAATGGGCATTTGTGAAAATTCTGATAACATTCGGGGCCTAGAAAGATACAATAATTTCAAGCAACTCACTTGACGGATAGTTGTTTGTCATGGGAACTCGGTTTTTGGAATCACACTTTAGAAAGTAACAGATTTAGAAAAGTAGAGAAATATAGCTCTTTAAAATAAAACCTAAACGGATTAAACGGGCCCTTTCAAAATTTGTTTCTTTTTAGTAAATGGTCAACTTTTAGGCACAGCTGATTTTATAATTTCATCTCTGTTTAAAGTTCAACGGTGAATTGTTTGCCGAAAGGTTCTAAATTGGGATGCGATAGAATAACACAAACTAACTTCGAAGATTTATCACCCAAGTCAAGAGACTAACCGAAATACTTAGGATCGAAGAAGACTACATGTTGTTTTCCTCAACTTGCTTTGATAATAATTTAAACTATCAAAGACTTAGACACAATATTTAGTGGTTGAATTACGAAGGTTTTGCTCAGTGGTGAAGTACAATATCAGACCACCAAAAATTTGACAGCTCTCAAATGGGGGCACTTAAAGAGAGGAGGTGAGACGAAATTATTAATAGTTAACACAGTTGAGGATATATAGCGTAAAAATTAAAACCATTGTAGCTGACGAAGTTATCGATCGCAAGGTTAAGCCTTAAAACCAATAATCCTATGTACACAGCTATGAAACCCTAAAAATATGCAAAAGACGATTAATGAAACAAGCTTGAAAGTACACTGATTGACTAAAAAGGAAGAAATAAGGACTACATGAAGGAGATGCCAGATGACTTTCTTGTGATGAACGAATTAACACGGGACGCTTGTGTACTTATTCTACCGAACTTGTAGTCAACTCCTATTTCAACTTCAGAAGCTAACAATGTAGAATTCGAATGCCTAGAAGGAAACAGTGGATAATTTTCTGCAGGCTTGGTGGGATCGTACCTTAAAAGAATGCGGTTATTAGAGGGACCGTTTTAGTGGAGCGCTAACGATTGCAAATTTTTCGACATCATGTGCATTCCTTGATACCAGAAAGGAGTTAATTACCATGTCTCCAAGCCAACACGAACTGTCTAGACCGGTGCAATGCACGGCTTTTTGTGTTTTTGTTTTTTCAGTCGGAGACGTTCGGGTCATGCCTGGTAGTGACTTAATTAGTTTTTGATTTCTGGGTGAGGAAATTTGTCTTGCTTTATTCACCTCGATATTTGGAATAAAAGAAAATGAAGCTTCACCAGTGTCTGCCCGCTTGTAAGGAACTAGAGCATGATTGCTAAGATATCAGACGTTTAGAGTGGTCACAAATGTTACTCGGAATAAGTAGTAGTGCCTTGTATTTTAATAAGGAATAGATATGTTTTCTTCTCTATAAACATGGGAAAACTAGTTCAGATTGTTCTGATGTAGCTTATCCAGGACTATCAAATCAGAGGATATTGAAAAAGATTGGCCTACAGGGCCAGATCTGTAAACACTAGGCCAAGAAAGTACAAATAAATCACGCAGCAATGGTCACCTTAGGAAAGGTTCCCTGTTTATGCTAATGCAAGTTCCGTAAACAGCTTCGTCTGTTCATGTGAAGTAATTTCATCCTTGTGATGACGGGAGAAGTAGATCAAGCCAGTAAGCAAGCGTGTGAGGGTGGGTGGGTTCTTGCATAATAAATTAGTATCTCCTGGGCTGCATGTGAACTTTCCTCACTGCACGACAAGAATTTACTACCAGGGTATTTTTCAGAGACAAATTAGTAGTTTCCGGCAATTGCAATCATCTTCTTTCATGGGCTGAGCTAAGGACGAATGAGAAAACAAGACACAGCTTTGGTCTGCCCCAATCAGGTCGTTTTGCGTGTCTTACGCGGTGTGCTTCTACCCAGGAATACCGACCACGTACAAGTAAGTAGGACGAAATTATGTAGCATTAACTTCTAACGGATTTTCTTACCAAATCTGGGACAAATTTGTGTAGGCCATCCAACTGTTATCAGTGGAAAGTGTGCGCTGACGCTTTATTAGGCGTGAACAGTGCACAACCTCGTAAATAGCCGTACTTTGAAGGGCCAACTGTAAAACGAGTTAGCAGTCCGACAAAAATGAAGATGAACTTAAGTAAAACTGGATAAACCGACAAGGCTGCACTTTGTTAACTACATGCAGAATGCATTATTCGAACGAATTATCTATTAGGTCAATCCAATGAATGGAAATGTTTGAATTGGTTTTGTTTTGTTTTAACACAATTTTCGAACTTCAAAGCAGTATTGCGGTCTTTGACCAATGTGAACAAATGAGCTGAAGACCGTTTTAAATCCTACTCCTTAGCGAGTTCCAGCCCTACCCAAACTCTGAGACAATGCTCTTTCCATCAGCACTCAATACGATGCATGTCTCCGCGTGTATGCATGCCTGCTCGTTTCATCAA